CTTTTATATAGTACATGGATCACACAAGATTTTAAGAGGAAAAATATTTTCTTTAAATTCATGTGCACAATGTCCCCTTTCCCTCCTGTCTACATCTGCTATGTACACTATAGAAGAAGCACTGATCATTTCTATTTATTGTGAAGTATTGCTCTGTTTATATGTAATTCTGGGATATATTTTGCACTTACAATTTCACTTTGAGACAGTTATGGAATAACTTTTTGCTGAATAGTGGAGCTGTGATATCAAACATGATTCAAGCACTTAAAATGAAGGCCGAATAATTTTCATGTCCAATAATAAAGGAACAAAAAAATGACCTGGGGAATAGGATGATAAAGCAAACATGATACATACACTTGAAAAGTGCAGCTGCCTCATGAGATAAGCTGTAAGCATCTTCCAGGATCTTGTTAGGCTTTTCAAATTCAGGCTACTAGTTAAGATTCCTTCCTCCGATGAAGGAATCTGTGGGCCCACTTTGTAATCTTCAAGAATCAATTGTTTGTTCGTTTTTTTGACATGGCATAGATCTATTTGAGCATTATGGGCTGATTCCTTCCCTCGCTTACACCTGTACAACCTCAAATTGAAAGGGGCGCGTTTAGGATAAAAATATCATGAAAACTTGTGGTACGATATTTATAGTATGACAAACACAGAGGTAGCAGAAATCTCACAAGTACTAATCTTGTGATACTTCCAGACCACACAAGTTTATAGGAACATCTAAACTTAACCTCTTAAGCTTCTGAAGTCCACCCATCATCACAGTAGTAGACATACTATTGGACAAAGTTCCACTTGTCTGTTTTACCCATTTAAAGCAGTTTTCAGGCAAAATTATTCCAGTAATCATACCTCTGCAGCCCATGGAATTGCAGAATTTGCCCTGATTTTTTTAAAGAACATTGGGCAAGACAGATAAAATGGGATTTTGTCTAATGTATGTCAACTGTGGGAATAGTGGGGAAATTTCAAAAGGTTGCAAGGTTCAGATTGGATACTTATGGGCTGGAAATATCACAAAATCATCTTTTTTTGTGAAATTTCTTCTATATTTGAATATCATTCAAACTGGAAACACAGTACTGCAAGAATAGCTTCATAAGATTGTAGTTTTTGGGATCATGCACCATTTCTAAGAGCTTTCAAAAGTATAATAGCTTATGTTTGGAACAGCCACCATACTTGTTCTGCTTGCAGGTAGACTATAAAATTGCACACAGAGCATTAGTATATAATTAGTTTTCTGTCCCCTTTGTAGGCACAGTGGGACAGATCCTCAGCTAGCATAAACTGGCAAAGCTTTGAATGGAGCTATGCTAATTTACACTAGCAGAGGATCTGGCCCATGAGCGCTGTGTCTAATGACACTTAGGTCATTGGTTGTCATAGAGCCTGAGCATATGAGATGCTGAACACCCTGAACACCTTGGAGGATTGGGCCCCCCAAAAGGAATGGGGAATGATTCATTACTGTCAGTAAGTTATTGTCTAACCAGGAGTTTATAAGACAGATTTGTTTCTGTGGAATGTGAATGATCATAAAGAAGGCCAGAGTTAGCACAAGCTCTAGAAACACAAAACTGTTTGCTATGGATGGATAACATAGGCTTGAAAGAGAGGCTGTGGAATCCCTGTCACTGAAGGTTTTTAAGAACAGGTTGGACAAACACCTGTCAGGAATGGTCGAGGTTTAAATGGTTCTGACTCACTGCAGGATTAGATGACCTCTTGTCCTTCCAGCCTTACATTTCTATGAAGATAATCCAGGAAGCTCAAATCCCCTGAGACTCCTTGGTGGTTATTAGGCCTCCAAATCTGTAAAAACCTTAGCAGGTTTGTTGGTGCCTCCAGTCTCTATGAGTTTTAAAAGGCTCTAAGGGACTTCACAAATCCTGTAAACCTTAAGACTCATTGGGGCCCTCTCCAACCTTCACCCTCCCCTAGAGTTATTGGAGGCAGTGTTCTACCCTCCATCCCTACAGGCTTCATGAGGCTTGTTGATGGTCTCTTCCTCCTCCACCCCACTCCCTGCAAGACTTTGTATCCTCATCAGGGCCTGCATTTTGCAGGCCTTAGAACATTCATGGACCTTATCTCTTGAGCCTTAAGAAGGATACTCATGACCCTCTCTATGAACCTTAGAAATAGCTAATGGGCTGCCACTTAGTAGCCTTGGCACTGACCCACATATGTCTGCCTCAGACATAGCAGGTTCCGTAGCCCCCTGGTAGCTGAAATTGGCTTCCCTGATCTCTGAGGAGCAAAAGTAGGCTTGTCAGTTTATGACAAGTTAAAATAGGCTCAAACTGGTTCTTTGGGGAAAAACAAGCCCCATGTAGGGGTGGGGTGGGCCTCCTATGGGCCTGATGTTTCTGTGAGGTCGGGATCCTCCAAAAGCAGGAAGTGGATGGGGACTGACAAGCCTCCTAAGGGTCACTGGATCTCTTTCCTCCTGTCAATCTCAGGAGGCCCACAGGAAGGAGGAATTATCCCTGATCTCCCTCCCACCCCCGAGCACTTTGCTCTCTCCATCCCTTGTCCTGCTCCCTACCCCCATCCCTCCCAGCAGATCACCTGAGATATGTAGGAGCAGATCTTTAGGAGAGGTGTGTGTGTGTGTGTGTGTGTTTGTGTGTGTGTGTGTGTGTGTGTGTGTGTGAGAGAGAGAGAGAGAGAGATTAGGGAGAGCAGGAGCATCAGGATGGGTGTGATTTGCCCCTTATTCGCCAAGTGTTCTGCAGGACACCCAGGAAGGAACATTTCCCGTTGGCTACCTCTTTCTACTCCTAGCACTGTTTCTGGAGCTGCCAAGGATCCAAAATTAGCTTGTCAGCTCCCGAAGACCCATGTTAACAATATAATTTAAAATATTAACTTTTAAAATATGAGTTTAATTACCTCATCTTTATATCTGCACACTAGATCTCAACTAGACGAGTTTAGTGAACCACAATTTATCTCTGTCCTTCTGGTTGGTGGTTTGTCTGTATGTTTGCTATGAAGGAGTAGAGGAAAAAAAACATCAGAAACATTTTTTAACTTGGGAGTGCAACTTTTTTTTTGGTGGGGTGTCATAATTCATTAACCCCTTTTCCAACTGACGGCAAATTTGATAGGAAAAAATGGGGGTAAAATTGGGTTTATAACTCACTTTGTGACCTATGGAGCAATTTGTGACACTCCAAAATGGCACCATAAGTGTGCATAGCACTTAACAAGCACAAAAAAAGATATAGGCCCTATCCCAATTTGCTTGTAATCTAAAGTCAGCATGAAAATGTACAAACACATTTTTAAAGGTGTGGGGGAAACCACAGGAAATGAAAAGAGCATGATATAGTTCTTGGCAGAGCATTTTCCCCATAGTGAATGAGAAGGGAAAGTTGTCTTTATCATGGATTTATTGTTGTTTCAGTAAAGATTGAAACAGGACTACATTAACACGCACTAGGGAACTTTTAGTGTGTATCAGCAAGGTCCACGTTGAGCCTGTTAGTGCACGATATGCTAGTGTGGTCTAAAATTTACACCCTTCTGGTGTGGACTAAAGCTCCATGTAGAAAAGCCCTAATTGTATAAAGAGAGACTTGTTTGAAGAAACGGGGATTGTAAGATCAATTCGTCCATTCATGCAAAAGGTGGCCGCATGATGGGAGAATGGGAGAAGACAAAAAAGGAGGGTTGGATGTGAGTCTTGGTTGGAGCAAAGTGCACAGATAGGGCAGTAAAAATATACACAATCTGAGATGGAGGCATAAGTTGTGCTGAGCCTTGAAAATCCTTGTAAACCACCATCTAACAAATAACAAATATATGAAAAATATATATTCATAAATTATATAAATATATACACTGAAGAAAGGAGAAACCAGTGGTACTTTATGTTTAAAAAATTAGGCTTTAGGTGAGTGCCAAGCACAAAAGGCATAAGACAGCAAACCCTACACACGCGGTTACTCCAGATCTGTAGCAGACATTGCCGGTAACCACAAAGTTTGTCTCCTAGTCTGTCATGCAAAGTTTTCCAATAAAAATGCCACACTGTATAGCCAGTTAAGGCAGAGAGCTGGAAAAAAGGTTCATGGGTGTAATTTTGTTTTAAAACATCATGAAAAAGACGGTTTTAACTAAAAACCATCTTTGAAACCACTTTAGAAAGGAGCCATGAATGTGTTATGACTCATGTCTGTATCTTCTGGATTCATTTGTTTTAAAGTAACTAACTATACAAAGCTATCCAAGACGCTGAAATTTCATATTTTATAGTCAAGTATAAGTAACTCGAGAAAATTATCTGTTCAGTTCAAAGTTTGGTATTTTTATCTTCAAATACTTACTTAAAAACTCTCCTTTGCCATGATGCGTATGCAAAACATTACAACAGTTAGGTGACTGGTGTGCTGAGACCACTATGTACCATGATGACCAATACTGGCTCATTGTTTCCTTGTACTCCCCCAGCTGTCTGTATCCATCTGTTGTTACTTGTCTTATACTTAAATTGTAAACTCTTTGAGCTTTGTGTTCTGTGTTTGTACAGTGACTAGCATTATGGGGTCCTGTTTACAGTAATACAAATAAATAATAATAAAACAAAGTGCAGATTTTCAACTATCAAAAGGTTTTATAATGACAATGATATTTTCACTTCTACAGCCCCTTTCTTCTGAAGTCATTTGGAGGCTTCCATTGACTATAATGGGCATTAGATTGGGTTCTTTATCTCCATGAGAAGATGGATATATTTAAGTTCAGTGTGCCAAGTGAATCAGTGGCAGAGCAGAGAAAGGGTTCCGCAGTCCTAACTCCCTGGCATATGATCTAATACATTGCCCATGCTGTATCTTCACTATATTTTTCAATGAAATTGTATAGCACTAGTAGGGTAGTTGCTAATATTATACAGCAGAATTAGTGCGGGAAACCAAAGAAAGAAGAAAAAAACACACACACAAAATCTAAATGTAATCTTATTTTATATGTTACAGATTCAGAACAATCTGTGGGCAGGAAATGCAGCTAGCAGCTCGATGGTCACTTCCTGCATGCTACCGCGTGACACTTCCTCCTGTATGACACCTTATTCCCACTCACCCCGGACAGATTCTGGCTACACAGGCTTTTCAAACCACCAAAACCAATTCAGCCATGTGCCCCTCAACAACTTTTTCACTGACTCTTTACTTTCTGGGGCTACCAACGGACACGCATTTGAAACCAAGCCAGAATTTGAAAGGAGGTCCTCCAGTATTGCAGTTCTACGAATGAAAGCCAAGGAGCACGCTGCGAACATTTCCTGGGCCATGTAATATCATAGTACACTTTCTTTTTTCTTAAGTAGCAAACTAAAAACATCCTTATTTCCCATATTTAAAGGACACAACAATAAGCTGCTGTGTTTGGAAATGCTAGAGGTCAGGATATACATTGAAGCCTGCTTACATAAATATCCTATATTATTTAACAATAAAACTAAAGGATAAACCTGAATAGATTTACCAATCTCAACCATCCCTGTTTTTTGTTTTTTATATTAAAACATGTTTTATTGTACCAGTTGATGAAATATGATTATAAAACCTGCAAAAAGAATAAACCTATTAAACAAATACATCGGCTATATTTTGATATATGTCAGTGCTACGTACAAAAGGAATTCCTTATGAATGAATACCTGATAAAGAAGGAAGTCTGGTGAGGAAAATACATTTGTCATATCAAGGCTTTGATGTAAATCTTTAAGAACATTGTGTGGGGTGTTAAGCATATGATTCTCCTTATTGTAAATAAATGTTGTAGGTCTAACTCTGTGAGCACGCCGCTGCTGCTTTGGGCCTGATCCATTATTCTGCTACACCCATGTATTGAGTTCAATGGAGTTATACCATTGTAAAACTGGTGTAATGGAATGGTGAGTCTGATCCTTTACTCATATAGACCTGAGTGTGCTCTCATTGAGTTTAATGAGAAATTTGCCGTGGTTTCACTGGGAGCAGAAAGTCAATGGCAAAACTCTCATTGAGTTCAGTGGCAGCAGGATTGGGCTCTATATGCTCGCTGCATATTACAAAGGAATTAAAACGTCAGCAGACTTTGACATTTAAAAATAGGGAGGGGGGGAAGAAAAATACTTTACATCTGGAGAATTGCTATCTGCTTTGATTTACTTCTCCTCCCTTTCCCCTGTCACATTCCAGGCTCCTTCAGATGAGTGAAATGTCAGGCTCCTTGAAAGCAACAGCCAGTCTCTCAAGTTCATAAAGGCAAAGTAAATTAATTGAAATAAAGAAGGACTTGCATGGCTGTGATTAGAACAGGATACAGCTCTCCACACAGCCCGTGCTTCTTGCTTTTCTCTCTAGCCACCACTTCGAAGCAAGGGATGCAGCGGGGAAGCATTTTTCATTACAACAAAACTGAACTAAGTAGTATTAATAAAACAAAACTACAGGGATCTAGGGAGTGCTCCTCTTTCTATTTGAGATGAAGGCCAAGCTTCTAATGACTTAAATGTCAGAAGGATCCAATCCATAATCCTTAAGTGCAGTAAATAAGCCTCACTTTGAAAGCATTATTATTAATTGGAAATGAGATTTTTATAGCAAATATTTTAAATTGGATGATTTGAAAAGAAAGTTGTCTTATGCACAGTCTTTAACAAAAAGAGCAGCCTTTTATTCATTTATAGACTTGTGGTTTCCTAATTTTATTACCTTGCCAAAATGAGCTTCTTCAATTTTGGCTGTGGATATTGGGGGTGGGGAGAGGAAGAGGGAATTTTCAGGCTCACATTTAGCAGCTTTTTTAATGACCTGTTTAGACAACTGTAAAATGTGCCTTATGTTTTAAAGCAGACTGATTTGTTTTTAACATATGTAAAGATACAACGGCTATACAGACACTTGTGCCATATGAAGAAGGATTAAAGTGAAGAAAATCCAAGCATTTTTCACAGGTCAAATTGTTTCCAATTTCAAAATGTGTTTTTCGTTATTATTATTATTTTTTTAGCATTTCCACATAATAATTTTTAAGGTATAGCATATGGAACATGCCAGATCAATTTCCAGATAATTTTTATTAGAGCATCATTAGCAGTAAGGCAATGAAAGCTCAACTGGCAAAACATTGAGCCATTTTATCATTGCCTTTCCTTCAGTTTACTTGTATATTGTAATACCAGAAGTTTCAATTATCGTCCAGGAAATTCTGCATTAAAGTTCATTTTTACAAGGCAGTTTAGGTCAAGATTAGAACTGAACAATTCCCAGCAATGTATTGCAGTGACAGAGTGTTTGCAGGAAATAAACTGTCATGTTCAAAACATTACAAAACTGCTAGATGTTTGAATCCTAGCAAGAAGCAAAGGCGGGGAGGGAACCCCTCATTTTCCTGCTGATTGTAATCAACTGGAAGGGTTATATTTGAATTAAACTTTTCCTCCGCATTTTGAACAATGGAAATGATTTGTTACCTTTTGCAAGCATACCCTGATGCATTAAACAAACAGGTATTCAAGCGCCAATTAAACCCGAAGTGTGATAAATTGCAGACCCTGAGTTAAACTTGTCACACTCTCGCAACAGCCGAGTCTCTTAGTATGAATGATAGTCTATATGCTGCAGCATGTAGAAAAACCACCCTCATATGTTAGATGTCAAATAATACAACAGGATCAGATTCTTCCTCCTTTACTACTCTTATTGAGTAGCCCTTACTCAGTGAGTAGTCTCATTGATTTCAATTAACAGCCAGTTTAGTGAGCCCTCTAGACAATTTCAGTGGGACTCCTCACAGAAAGCCAAACTGTGAACTTATGCACAATGGGGAATGGTTACTCATATGACTAGTCCCACAGCAGACAATGGGACTATTCATGTGGATAGTTGCTCACCACCAGCGTAAGTGAGTCACCATCAGGCCAAGAGTATGGTACTATTCAACAACGGTAAGGGTGGCAGAATCTGGCCCACAATGACTAATGGCCTCTGACTGCCAGAAGCCGGGACTGGATGACCGGGACTGGATCACTCAATAATTGCCCTGTTCTGTTCATTCCCTCTGAAGCATCTGGCACTGTCAGAAGACAGGGATATCGGGTTAGATGGACCACTGGTCTGACCCACTATGGCCATTCTTATATTTTTAAGAGTTAAATACCTATAATCCCTTTGAGTAGCCACTTCCTGCAAAAATAGTGGTATTGAAGTCAGTGGCACTATTTGTGGAGTAAAGCGCTACATCTGTTACAAGAGTATTTTACAAAAGAAATGTCTGTCTATATATGTGTGTGCATATATATAATATAGTCTGAGTGAATTTCTACTCAGTGTGAATAAGGGTATCAAAATGATCTTTTTCTGTTGGATACATTTCTTCAGTCTACAAGACTTTTGTTAGCTTTAACACATACTTTAACTCTTTTTTTTTATTTTTTTAAATAAATAGATTTTATCCACTTACTGATTTCTTACTGTGAGTGACTGAACTTTTAGTTGCTTCTTCAACACATTTTCCTTCACAGATGGTGTGGAGAATGTACTAAAAACAAAAGGAGGTGATTTACCTGCCCTTTCTCCTGAGCACTTTAGCTAATGTTTGAAATATGTGATCATCATGCAACGATGAGAAGAAAATTTATAGAAGTACTGGGCTATGATTCCCCTCACTTGTTAAAGAAGAAGGTGAAATACTGTTGTAAAACAATGTCATGATTTATTTGTCATGATATACTGGTGGGCCATTTTTTCTTAAGATTGATTAATCATTCTTACATTTTTAAACTGATTTTCTGAACCAAAAAAAAAATATTTAAACCTAACTCTAAAAATTTAATTTTGTCATCAATGTTTGTACATCTTAATGTGCAGAATATACTTAATCTGTATTACAACATTGAGGACAATATTTCACTGACTAGCTGAAGACCGGTATATTCACCACTAGAAATGGTCACAAATTTTCAATAAAACAGTTTTCCACTGGAAAATTCACTTTTTCAAAATTGAGATGTTTCACAAGAATATATTGAATTTGATGACATTTTAAATGGGAGAAAATAAAAAAGAAAATTCACTCTCATTCTGTTGTGATAACAACTAAATGTTTTCATTGCCCTAATGTTGAAACGTTTTGTTTTGAAAAGGTAAAAACATTTCATTTCAGTGTTATTATTTCAATTATTTTTGACTTGTATATATTAAAATATGAATTGTAACATTCTATTTATATATGCTTATCTTGTATATTATATTTAATATTTTTATACATTATAATGTTTTGACATTATTGGAATGAGCCATTTTTACCTTACTGAAGGAACAATTTGACATTATCTAAACAAAATGATTTGACATTATCAAAACAATTAGATGTTTCTGAATTTGAAATATTTTGGAATTTCCGTTCCATGACAGACCTCAAAATCCTGACTTTGTTCCAATTCAGAATGAAAGCAAATATTGTGATGCCAGATTTTCTGTGGAAAGAAATTCTGTTTTCCAACCAGCCCTATTCACCACCAGACTTTCATCCTTCATTCTCCCTATGACAGGGTCCTGACTTTGTCCCAACCACTGAACCCTTCACTTTCTCTCACAGCTGCTGAATAACCCACTCCCTCTGCCCCTAAATATACACATTCATTCATTGCCAGTTCCTTCTCTTTCCTCTTAAATGTTAGCTCTCATCTACCTCAATTCCCCACTGGTTCTCGTCTCATCCTCCTAGATGTAAGCTTTCCATAGCCCACCTTCCCAGTACCAATTTCTGATCCAATGATCAAATGAGAAAGAACGTTGTGGGGGGGGGAGGGATCATGTGTCCTGGATAACTGAGGTATTTTTTTGGCAGTGGGTTTCTGAGACATTGTGAGTCACATGAATTTTAATATTAGGGCCAGATTCAGTGGTACACTCTGGTTGCTTTGCACGACTGTCGACAACCACAAAGCAGCTAGAGATTATTGGCTAGTTTAACTGGGTTTACAGCTGCTTTGCATTGTCTGTGCAACACAAAACAGCTGCAGTTCAATGGTGGTTCTGGACCTTACTTCTCATTTGACTTATGGGTTGTATAGGAAAACTTACCAAGTAAACTTCCAGGACATGAAACTATGGAGTGAAACTGTTGTAATTGAAAGAGAATGTTTTAAATGTGACTTACCTATGAAAATCTGGAGGCAAATTGGGCAATAAGGAGGAATAAGGTAGGTGATAGAGGGGTTGTGGCGGGAGTTGATTAGCTGGAAAAGAGGGTTTTCTGAAGGGGAATAAGGGTGGTGTGCTGAGTTGTAGGAGAGCAGGGGGAGAAACTCATGTTAAAGTCAAGGAGAGTGGGAGGAAGCAAGAGATGTACATGCAGTGTGTGTGTGTGTGTGTGTGTGTGTGTGTGTGTGTGTGTGTGCGCCCGCGCGCCCGCACATGTGGGAGTTATGAGGCTTTTATGCAGAGAGGTCCATTCAGGGGTCTGGAGTGGGAAGCCTAGTGTCTCTGTGACAAAGCTTCTAATGCACGGAAAGGGTCTCTATGACATTGCTGTATCCACTGTGCAGTGAGGTAGAACTGCCTGGGCCGCTGAGGCTAGAGTTCACGGAGAGCCAATAA